TAGGATACCAGCACCCGTCGGGATTATCCGTCTCTCGTGGTCTAGAGACAGATCGCTTACGTGAAATGCTTCTACGTGGGGTGTGATCACTTACAGATGTTGCGAAACTTAAGATAACGCGTAAGTGTATGACATAACTCGGTTATGTCATTCTGAGTCGTTTGAGGCTTTTCTTTGACTGAAAAAACCTCGGTAGTAGAAGATTTCGTAATTTCTAAGATACGATCGGCAGATGCAGCCAGCTCATCTAAGGCGTTGTTCTGAAACGAGGCCGGAACCGCTTGCACCTGTTGCAACATGTCCGTCGCAGAACCATGCTGCAGGTCTATGTTACTAAAGAGTTGGTCTAACCTTTCTCGATCGGTTAGGTCTTCTCGTTTAAGAATGGAACGCTCTAAGGTTTCGTACGGGTCAGAAACATCACTAGTAAACATACTAGATGTTACGTACCTGTTCAATCCCCGCGGTGGTGCCTTGACTACTGCGAGGAACTGTGCACGTGTGTCATTCACGCCGTGCTCGTGAAAGTCGGCTTCTGCGTAGCGAAACCAGGCTTCGATATTGTCGGGCCGGAAGGGCATGAGTTGGAACGAGGGTGGGGACATGGTCTTAATCTTAAATACCTTAGGAGTCTGTTCGATCATAGGTGAAAATTAAGTACGAGAATATTAGAGAAAAATATATAGATATCCTAAGACACGGGGAAAAATACCACAATGTATAAAAAATTAAAATAAAGCAATGACATTTACGATCCCAAAATGGGACAGACTCACAGTTTACGATTTGCTGTACCAGATCACGTCGGTCTCACCAATGAAGATGGAGCAGGTGTTCAGTGTTTGGCAACGCTTTTACCAGCAAAACCTTATATTATAACTCGTACCCATCAAGAGAAATCAAAAGACAGAGTCGAGGAGATCAGAAGTTGTATTTGACGATTGCCAATATATCGGAATTTTCTGATCCAATCTGGCTAGCGATTGCGGTAGATGTTGAGCACGGCGTTCCCACACGTGATCTGGTACGGATGCATGACCGAGCGTCTTCAGCTAGGTGAGTCCACTAAAACTAATCTGGTCAGCATGCAATGTCGAAAACTTACAGAGCTATTTGTTTTGGGGATTTATTTACCACTACAGTTTCATTTCGTGTCTTGGATTGGGTGCTGATTTAATTTTAGTATTGATTTACAATAAAACTACAACCTGATTTAAATACATTTGTCGATGCCCATCACGACGGGAGTGGTACGCTTACATTTACCCCTCAGATCCATGGTAAACAGATGTTTACTTTACGTACGCCTAAGAATTATGAGCGCTTTCTTGTTGTCGTCAAGTGAGCTTCAAATGTCACAAACCCGGTTGTACAAATGCATATCCAATGATATTGATGAATTACTAACCACTAATTATGGTACTTCTCATCAGAGAATTCACCTAATAAAACTGATGCACAGCGACCAACCTGCTACAATATAAAAAGATAAACAACCAAACGTAAGAATACGAAGTAAACAAGTAACTAGAGTGTAGCAGCTAATAAATTCCCAAAAAAGACAGTTCTGTAGGTCTTTGGCATTTGTGCTGAACTCAATAGACTTGTTGGATAACCAAATCTATCTATCAAACATCCTCTTCAGATCTCCTCGCCGTGCATATATCATGTACTATGTTTAACATCGACTATCTTCCAAGTATATCTTCGTACACTTCATTCAAGACTTCTTGTTTGACTGATTTTGATGTTCTCGACTATAAAGATATTACTAACAATGTTGTCAAGCACTTAATATCCGTAAACTCTTTAAATCCACACTCCACAACTCTCTTGTTATCTCAGAATATGAAGTAAGTTTTGCGCGATGTTCTGAAACTATCTCACTACAACTCATATCTAGATGGAAGATTTAATAAAGTTATTAACTGACAAAGCTACTTTATGTTGCGACAGTTCTTTTAACCACTAGTGGATACTATAAACTGCATCCAAATCTAGAACTGTGATTGTCTTACTGTCATCTAGCAAACTTAGTCACAGTGTTAGAATTTATACTTCAATAAAGCGAGTGCAATCGGATTAAGTCGTTCACGGCAGATGATAACCGGTGTTTTCAACGTGGCATCGTCGCCGATTCCATAAGGATCAGTCATGCATAGACCAAAACGTGATACTACAGATCATCGTTGGGTAATCAGTTGGATGGTACTCATCACTATACACCAACTTCCCTGACTATGAGAAAGCGTTTGACACTGTGAAAGAGAGAACCTTATAGAGCCTTCTTTGACACTACGGTATACCTGAGAAAATCGTCAACATCATACAGAATTCATATAACGGACTACACTGCAAAGTGGTGAGGGTAGACGCATTCCAAGTGGGAACCAGAGTCAGACAAGGCTGCTTACTCTCACCCATCCTCTTCCTTCTGGTGGTCGACTGGATTATGAAGACCTCGACATCTGGGGGAGCAAGGAATTTAATGGACAGCCGGGATGCAAGCGGACGACTTGAATTTCTCAGACAAGCTTTCAGCTGAAGAGGAAATCAGAATAAAACGTTAGACGTGGATAAGACACACATTTAGAAAATCATCAAACTGCACCATGAAGCAAGCATTAACATGGAACCCTGAAGTGAAACGAAAAGAGGAAGTCCAAAGAACACACTGAGCTGAGAATTGGAGGCAGAAATTGTGAGGAGGAATAGCGACTGGAAGCAACTGAAGAGGATTACTCAGAACAGAGTTGTATGGAGAATATTGGTGGGCAGGCTATGCTCCTCCACAAAGCGTAACAGGTTTAGGTAAGTTAGCCACTCTGAATATTTTTGGGCTTTACATAGCTTTGCAGACCACAATGTACACTGGTGTATATTATGTTGGTTTACAATTTCAAGTGATTTAATCGATGAGAGACTTGATCCAATCAATCCTCAGTCAAAATAACTTCACAAGGTAGCAAGAAAAAATTGAGATAAGTTCATAGCTGTCAAGCTGTTTGGCGGTATTTCCTCAAGTTTTAGCAGTTATCTGTATTTTTACGCAACCTTAGGAAATGTGACTTAGTCTATTTTGAATATCTGTACTGCCACGAGCGAATCTACCCTTTTCGTACATCATGTCCCCTAAATGTCTATAATCCAAGCACACACTGTAAATAACACTCAGTCCTCGGTTTCAACCGAAAAAGTTTAAACATATAAGACGCGGCTGAGTTAATGGTCGCGCAACGTGTTAGGTTTTTTATGTAGTCCTAACACATTCTGAATACAATCCTGCTACCTTTCAGTTCGAACTATCAAGTTCTTTCAATCTCACTTGTTGATGTAAATTATCGTCGATCTTCACCACTAAAAGTGAGTTCATGTACTTACTGATTTGAGCCTTTTAAGGTTAAATAAAAAAAAGTGATCAGATTGATTAGGTCTCATAATTTTGCCATGAGAATATGATCACTGCTGTTCCGCCAGATCCCTACTCAAACATTGTAAAGACAAATCTTTCATATGGGTTTAACCTAGCAGAAAGCATCCACGTTAATTTGACCGGGAAGATAACTTCAAAACAAATGGTACATCTCGTGCAAACTAAGACGTCACATCAGAGTGATTCCACATTACAAAACAGCAACAAGTTTTCGATGTTCTGTTTATCCGTTTAGTAAAGAGACAAAATCGCTTATAGAACTGCTCAGTCATATTCATTGTACAACTGCAGCGAGAAAAAATTGTTACATAACTCTGTTTCAAGTCATAGTCGCATATTTTCGATATCTTTTCTATCTGGTACTGACCGTATGTAATCTGCCGTAGCCAGTTTATCTCCATCGACATGTTAGCAAATTTTCCAGGACAGAGCAAGTTGCCTTATGATAGACATGCTCTCCCTCTCATCCCTTTAGCTGTACAACTAGCTATTCAGTCAATAATCTCTTTGGAGTGCAGATCAACGTATGTTCACGGTAACTGGTGAACTTAAGCGACGATAGAAATGAAGAAGAATAAGTGTAGAATGCAGTAATAGATAGTATAATAATAGGTTGCGTTATTCGAAGTCTTGCTCACCAGTGTAGATCACCAACGTAAATGGTGTGTCGAATGGTCGGGGGCCAACTAACGTTAAAGTAACACATTACGGTTAGCGCCTAACGTGGATTAACATTCGTCGTATCTAAGTACTGTTGCTATCTTAATGACCGTGCGGCCCGAATCACGTCATTACAAAAATATATTGGTAAGGATAGGTACAAGGAATCGAGTGCGACCGCCACCACATGGGCCAGTTCATGGCGTGCAATTAACTGATGCGTGTTAGTTGTCGTTGACCTTAACGAGGACCGGTGCACTGCTCGATATTCGGTGACCCTACTACCGGATAATTTGGCTATGGCCCAGTGACATTTCACTGCCTATACATGAATAATGTCCTCGTTTTTCTGACGAATTACGATTTATAGTAATTGGCTAACTGTGATCCCTGTATCAAACCATGCTTTTATAGCTATGAAGATATCAAAATACTATCCTGCGTGGTTGTTCTATGTAACCCACCTTGAATTGTGATTCCCCTATCATTTCTCAGTTTCTGTCCACAATGGTCAATGTATATACTTATGGCCTTCATCGAAAGTTTTTTTCGTAGTCTGTTATTTCAACTGCTTTCATGAATCGATGAAAAATGACAATGCAGCTATTTCTATAAAGTTTGATAAATGGTGACACGACACTATCTAGAAAAACCAAACTCAGGGAATTCTACAGCTAACAAATTTTGTCCGAGTGATAAGCCAAAACCCTAAGTCAGGAAAAAGTAGGTATGCTACTCTAGTTACCGTTTCATGAAAATAAAGTAGTTTGCATGATGTGCTTTCGACTCCCGAATTAGTAGATGAGTTGCATTCAAAAGCAATCTTGGTGTTTGAAGTTTAGTTGTAAAGATTTATATACATACATATGTTTCAACTACTTTGTTTTAGGTTTTTGGGAATTAATTGATGGCCACTAATCGAACAGCTCACGTTATTGTGCTTGGTGATCTCTCACGATCACCAAGAATATTATCCCAAGCTCAGTTTTTGGCTCGTGATGGTTGGGATGTAACTATATCAGGATACAAAACTGAAATAATAAACCCGTTGAATTTTAAATTGAAAGTCCTGGGTATACCTATGTGTCCGAATTTCAAAGTTCTACATTTCCCTTCGTTTATGGTTTTTATCCTCAAGGTATGTTTAGTTTTCCTTTAACCATGTTAACTTTAGTTTATTTTTACGGCTGTAGCACTCTTCTGTCATCTTATTAGACACTGCCGTAGCCGTTTAATTTTGGTTCAGAATCCTCCTGCAGTACCAACTTTTTTGATTTTATGGTTATTTATCAAGATTACGGGGAAGAATTTAGTTATTGACTGGCACAACTATGGTTATACTCTTGTGGAGCTAAATGCGCCTAGAAGTTTATTCACGCGGTTAGCAAACCTATTCCATTTATATCCATATTAATATTTGTAGGTTGTACTACATATTGGAAGTTGACTTTGCAAGTCGCTTTATGTCCAGAATGTCCGATCGTGTTGCGAACATTTGCGTATCCAAAGCTTTAAAGTACGATATGGGAATGAAATCAATAGAAGCAACTGTTTATTATGATCGTCCTGCAGAAGAATTCAAACCTACACCTGTAGATGTTGCCCACCGTCTGTTCTTGAAGTAAGATCATTCAGTAGTCTATTTTCCGGTTAATTAGTAGTTTTTAAGTATTAATCTGTAATCAATAACATTTTTTCGGCAAATGTTTTATTGAGGTTATTTCGTAAATTTATTTTTGTCCTATATGTAAAAATAATGCTACATTATTCACTAGTTATCAAGATATAAACTTAGCTCTCTGAAACTTAATTTTATTTCGGAATTATATGGTTGCTAATTTTAAAAACCCTGCTTCTCATATTAACTGGAAACTCCGAGTAGACCCATTAGAGTTGAACTCAGTGACGAGGAAACCAAAAGCACATCACAGGAACAACTGAGGTCACACTCAGGCAGCTCTGGAAAGATAGATGATCAGCTGTGGAAACAGCAGTGATATCTACTGATGATTTCAATCAAAGGGTTGCGAAAAACCAGTGAATTCCTAACAATCTCAGAGAAAGATGGACATATTATTCATTCTCAATCCAGGAGATTGGATCGATGGGCAGAACACTTTAGGGATCAGTTCAACTGGCCTTCAGCCACACTTCGGTTTCCCACGATCTCTAGTCAACCTGAATGGCAAGTTAATGTAGGTCCTCCGACTTTTTACGAAGTTGAAAAAGCCATAGGAAATCTGAAACGAGGGAGAGCAGCAGGCCCTGACAGGTTTACTCCTGAGATTTTTAAGGATGGTGGTCCAGTATTAGCAATGAGATTAACCGAGGTCTTAAGTAGAATTTGGGAACTGGACGTAATCCCATCTGACTGGTCTCAATCACTGATTGTGCCAGTCTATAAGAAAGGACAAAAGTCCTCTTGTGACAATCACAGAGGAATCAGTTTGACTAATATAGTGTCTAAAATATTAGCTTCAATAATACTTCGACGCCTAATCAAAGCTCGTGAAGAGCAGACTAGAGAAAATCAGGCTGGTTTTCGACCTGGACGTGGTTGTATAGATCAGATATTCACACTACGTCAGGTTCTAGAACACAGACACACATTCAGACGCCCCACAATGGTAGTATTTCTCGACCTTAAGGCGGCATTCGACTCTGTTGATCGTGAGGTTCTATGGCAGTGTTTGTCACTGAAAGGAGTACCAAAGAAGTACATTAACCTTATAAAGGCTCTCTACTCGAACACAACTGGTAGAGTGAGAGCTTATGGCGAACTGTCATCAGAATTGATTACCTCAAGTGGTGTTCGTCAGGGCTGTCCACTCTCCCCATTCTTGTTCAACTTTGTCGTGGACATACTTCTAGAGATAACACTTTCCTCATCTAGATTTCCAGGGGTTGAACTTCTACCGGGAGGTTCACTTGTTGACTTAGAATATGCTGATGACATAGTTTTATTTGGTGAAGACGCTGACAAAATGCAGAGTCTTCTGACCACTCTAAGCAACAATGCAAGCATGTTCGGGATGAGATTCTCTCCCTCGAAATGCAAAATGTTGCTTCAGGATTGGGTTACATCGACACCCGAACTAGTGATAGGGAGTGAAGTAGTTGAGTGTGTCGACCGCTTCACTTATCTTGGAAGTCTGATCAGCCCTTGTGGTCTGGTGTGTGACGAAATCTCAGCACGGATACAGAAGGCTCGACTAGCTTTTGCCAACTTGCGTCATTTATGGCGTAGGCGAGATATCCGTCTATCAACCAAAGGACGTGTTTACTGTGCAGCAGTTCGTTCCGTCCTACTTTATGGCAGTGAAACATGGCCGGTAAGAGTAGAGGATATCCGTAGGCTACTAGTATTTGATCATAGGTGTCTTCGAAACATTGCTCGTATATCATGGGACCATCGATTAAGTAACACAGTTGTTAGAAAACGGGTACTAGGTAAGGATGGCAAATCAATTGATGACGTAGTGAAACTTCATCAGTTGAGATGGCTGGGACACGTGTTACGTATGCCCAACGACCGACTGCCTCGACGTGCTATGTTCAGTGGTATAGGAGTAGGTTGGAAGAAAGCTAGGGGCGGCCAAACCAAAACATGGCACAAGTCCATGAAGTCACTGACAAGTGAACTGAGTCATGTTGGTAGGTGTAGACTACCTGGTTGGGGACCGCGAGATGATAGCAACCGATGGTTAGAGACCCTGAATGACATGGCTCAAAATCGTTTGCAATGGCGCAGGTGCATCCACTCTCTGTGTTCTCTCAAATTCTAATCTTCTGAATTCTTCATGTCCCTTTTTTCCTCTTTCCAAATTTATTTCACTGGATTATACTCTATAAATAACATCTCCAAACCCTAATCTTCCCGATTACTGCTTATACTCTTGCTACCTCTACCACTATGGGATTTGAATGGACAACTGCATCTCTGTGCTAATGTGGTGTGGCAACTCGAACTGATGTACGTACGTACGAAGTTCTACGTTGATACTGACTGACTGACTGAGTGAATTCCTGTCACATTTATTTCATTGATAGGCTCTCGTAAACTTATCCCGTCAGGCTCTAAACACAATGATGAGCGAAAACAAATCAAATCTAGGTTAACGAGAAGTCTACGGAACGATCGTGAGCAGTAATAGGCAACGAAAGCAAGAGATGAAAAAGCAGCAGCTGCAGGTAACACAAAATAGCTTTACTGACTAATGGAAGAGACCGGAATTTAGAAGTCAAGTGTAAGTGAGACAATCGCCGACAAAGACGACACTCTTATCCGCCCTCAGTCCAGACGTCTAGGATGATGGGCGGAGCACTTAAAGGGGCAGTTCCATTGGTCTACAGCTACCCACCATGCCCAAACACCCTGGAGCCCCCAAATGCCCTGGTACGGCCGAGAGTGAGGGGCCGCCCTCCCTCTCGAAATGTTCTCACACGGCCACGTGTATACAGCCTCTGCCAGGGAAGTCCTACTCATTGCCTTCTCGTAGCGGGGGTGTTGTTTACGAAATTGAGAGGACGAAAATCGAATGTCCGGCGCTTTAACCGGGCCGGTGGACACGGTAAGTCCACCTAGGGGAGTTGGGAAACCCTGATTGCAAACCATTGGTGCACATGGGCTCCAGTACCCTGAGGGAACAAATGGCGTATGAACCAATCGTTGGTCACCGGCTACCATGGGACTGCATCTCCTCACGATGCTCAACTGCATTGTGGGTCAGACCTTTAGGTCAAAGGCTCAGGGTGTGGCCCCATAAGAAAACCACCTGCTTCGGTCTGGGCACCCAGGCAGTATCACAGCCCACACACAAATAAAATGAAATTACAATACTAGAAATACTGTTCTTGTTCCAATTAAGATCCAGACAACTCATATCCATTTGATAACATTGTTATTTTTCTTATATACTACGCCACTGATATACTCTTTTATTCCCACTTTGTGTATCCTTATTTTTCAAATTATACAGCAGCTCGCCTATGGTGGAAACTTCTGTGTGATGCATATATATCTGGTGCTCCATTGTACCTATATTTATGTTCAAATAAATAAGTGAGACACCCTGAATGGAACATTGAAGTAGGCCTCTGAACTCTGATTGAATATCAAAAAGCTATAGCTAATCTGACACGACGAAGAGCAGCTGGTCCAGATGGATTGACTCCAGAGGTCTTTAAGTGTGGTGGTCCGATTTCAGCCATTAGGTTGACTAATATTTTAGCTAAGATCTGGGAGTTGGACGTTATCCCATCTGACTGGTTGCAATCGCTTATTGTCCCAATATATAAGAAGGGATCAAATTCATCCTGTGACAACTATAGAGGGGTTAGTTTAACTAATATAGTATCTAAGATACTAGCCTCAACAATTATCGGACGCCTTACGAAGACTCGTGGACTGCAAACACGAGAAAATCAGGCTGGCTTCAGACCTGATCATGGATGCATCAATCACATATTCACCATTCGTCAGATCTTAGAACACAGGCATACTTATCGGCGTCCGACAATCGTGGTCTTTCTTGACTTAAAAGCAGCATTTGACTCGGTAGACCGCGAGATTCTGTGGTAGTATCTGTCATTGAAAGGCGTACCTCAGAAGTACATAAACCTTATGAAGGCTCTTTACTCGAACACTACTAGTCGAATGAGAGCCTATGGCGAACTGTTATCTGCTTTTGCAACCTCAAGTGGTGTCCGTCAAGGCTGTCCACTTTCTCCATTTTTGTTTAACTTCATCATAGACCTACTGATGGAAATAACATTCTCATCGACTGAATTCTCGGGTGTTGATCTCCTTTCGGGAGGTCCACTTATTGACTTAGAATACGCAGACGACATAGTCTTGTTTGGTGAAAATGCTGATAAAATGCAGTCTTCTGGTAGCACTAAGCAACAATGCCAGAATGTTTGGAATGCGCTTCTCACCCTCTAAATGCAAGCTGCTGCTTCAGGACTGGTGTGCGTCAACACCTGAACTAAGGATAGGGAGTGAAGTAGTCGAAAGCGTTGACAACTTCACTTATCTTGGAAGTCTGACCAGCTCTAATGGGTTGGTGTCTGACCAAATCTGTGCGTGGATTCATAAAGCTCGTTTAGCTTTTGCCGACTTACGTCACCCATGGCGAATGCGAGATATCCGTCTATCAACAAAAGGACGAGTATACTGCGTGGCAGTTTGTTCTGTCCTACTTTATGACTGCGAAACCTGGCCATTAAGAGTAGAAGATACTCGTAAGTTACTAGTATTTGATGACAGATGTCTCAGAAATATTGCTCGCTTCTGCTGGGATCACCGGGTAAGTAATAGTGATGATAGACGCAGGGCATTAGGGAACGATGGTGAATCAGCTAATGAGGTTGTGAATCTTCATCGTCTGAGATGGTTGGGCCACGTTACGTATGTCTGAACACCGATTACCACGACGTGCTAACCGGTGTTGGAGATGGTTGGAAGAAAGTTAGGGGCGGCCAAACTTCTAACTTCTGGCCTGAGCTATGTTGGTAGATGCAGACTACTTGGTTGGGGTCCGCGTGACTATCGTGACCAATGTTTGGAGACTTGGTGACATGGCTCAGAATCGATCACAATGGCGTTGGTGCATACACTCTCTGTCTTCCCTTAAACTATGAGATTAAAATCACTTCAAATCTTTCTTTCTATTTTCTAAATCTTTCTTCCTATACTATATCCTTATATGCAATCTTTCTTTTATATATTACCACCATTGACTTGACCACTCCTCTGAATCCGGTGTTCGTTTTGTTGTGCTAAAGCGGTATGGCAACTTGGATCGATGCATTTATGTGTCCGATCCCAAGTTGAAGTTGACTGACTGTATTAAAGCCACTTCGTAGGAGTGAACCTCACTCCGTCACGAACCAAGGCTCAGATTTCATCACATAAGATTGATAACAAGAAATTATTACCTGTTCGTATCGTTGACTTGCTGTTTATCACTAGTGGTTACAAAAGCGAGTTAGTGTATATTTACGAATGTGAAGTCGAAAAAGTCATTATTGTACTAATAAAGCACCGACTATATTAGCTAATTATTTCCGGAAAGTTAGTTTCGATATTTCCCTAGTGTTTCTTGACAATTTTCTCAACTCGGGCTTATTAAATTTTTAGACTCAGCGATCAATACTCAGCGTTTAGAAACAAACTAGATTCATGTCGATTCACACGCTTTACTGAGATAACTGCTCTACCGACTAATACCAAGAACAATGAGCCCCATTGGCGCCCAGATCGCCCAGCATTGGTTGTTAGTAGTTGCAGCTGGACACCTGATGATGACTTCACGTTGGCAATTAAAGCACTGGGAATCTACGACAAGGCAGCTGAAAAACCAGATTCAGGTTTACCCAGTATTGTGTTTGCTGTAACAGGTATAGTTTTACGCTAAACTGTGTTCAGTCTTGTTGTCTTAGACATTTTTAACCTGTTCTGACTTATTGTTCTCGTAGTGTGGCTGGTTTTATCTATAAGATCCATATTTGTCAAATTAGTTATGGTATCATCATAGATCAATCGTTCACACATAAACTTTTCTTATTTTCTAATGGCTTCGCCCCTTCCACTCTCGTCTTAGGTGCATTCTATCTAATGTTGTGTTATCTGCATCCCATCTTCATTACATGTATGTAGTTAATGACAAGAAGGCATATTCCTTATACTCCCCTAAACCTATCCAAATTTGCAACGAAAAAACAAGGCTTTAAGTATCGCATCAAACTCTAAAAATCTATCTAAATAATAGCAGTATTTTAGGTTTCCTTTCATCCCACTTATCAGAAAGGTGCTCCTAAATATTTATGTTCAAAGGATCTGTAATCTTACTTAGTCTGTACAACAGATTTCAAAACACTTCTTGATTACTTCGAGTGTTGTTTAAGATCTCAGATAATTTCAAGTCACTTATAAGTATCTTTACCAAGGTTTGACTTGATAATTTCGAATAAATTGAGCATTGAGTAGATTGTTATAAATAAAATAATATATTTGCGTGCACATAATATTCTTGCGTTGTAACAATTACAATTTACGCCTGTTACTCCTCGTGGAGGAGCATAAGCCACTCGCAATCCAACCCTGTCCTGAACAGTCCTTTCCAGTTCTTTCTAGTTGCTATTCGTCGCTCTCAAGTCTGCTGCCAATTCCCGACGCAGTGTGTTCTTCGGTCTTCCTCTTCTCTGTTTCCTTTTAGGATTCCATGTTAGTGCTTGCTTCGTGATGCATTTTGATTATTTCCGTGATGTATGTCCTATCCAATTCCAACATCGTTTCCTAACTTCCTCTTCAGCTGGTTTGTCCTCTTCCAGAGTACGCTGTTACTGATGGCATCCGACCAATGAATGTTGAGTATCCTGAGTAGACAGCTATTTATAAATACTTGCACCTTCTTGATGATGGTTGTTGTAGTTCTCCAAGTTTCAGCTCCATACAGTAGAACTGCCTTGATGTTCGTATTGAAGATTCTGACTTTGATATTGGTTGAAGGTTGTTTTGAGTTCCATATGTTCTTCAATTGTAAGAATGAGGCCCTTGCTTTGCCAATCCTCACCCTCACGTCTGCATCTGAACCTCCTTGTTCATCGATGATGCTTCCTAGGTATGTGAAGGATTCTACATCTTCCAGAGTTTCGCCGTCAAATGTGATTGAGTTGGTGTTCTCCGTGTTGTATTTGAGGACCTTGGTTTTCCCCTTGTGTATGTTGAGGCCTACTGATGCAGAGATTGCTGCTACACTGGCTGTCTTTATCTGCATTTGTTCGTATGCATGGGATAGAAGGGCTAGATCATCTGCGAAGTCCAAATCGTCTAATTGATTCTCCGCCTAGAGCTCTCCTATTTACTGCCGGTCCCAAGCCCGGGTAAAGGATGAGGGTTGGTCATGTGGTTGGCAACCCCATGCCGTAGGAAAAATTTTGGTAGAAAAATGCCAACCAGATTAAACAAATTAAACCATTTAAACTCTGCTCTGGGAATTGAAGGAAAAATTATGACGCCTCAGGATGAAAGTCGAGATTCTTTGGAAGCCACGAGGCCGATGCCCCTTCTGACAACCAGAGCAACAATTTTTATAGGTACATAAAACGTTCAGACAATGTGGGAGACCGAGAGGAAATGCTGAGATACAGCTTGGAAGTACTCGGAATCAAAGAAACCTATTGGACCCAAGTTGGACAGCAAAAGCTCGATACGGGAGAGATGCTTCTGTACTCCGGTCAAGAAGAGAAAAATGCTCCACACACACGTTGTTGCCCCAATACTATCCGAAGTAGGATGAGAATCTCACGGATCCAGAATCACCAAAGCATCATTCAAAACAAAGAAAGAGGGGATCACAATCAATGTTATCCAACGTTATGCACCCAACAATGATAACAACGACGACAAAAAAGATCAGGTCTATTAGAGGCTGCAATCAATCATAGCGAAGTGCCCAAGAAAGCCCCTCACCTTCCTAATGGGGGATCTAAACGCCAAAGTCGGAATGGACAACACCAGATATGAAGATATCATTAGACGACATGAACTGGGAGAGAGAAACGGAAATGGGAGAGATTTGTGAACCTCTGTGCATTCAACAAATTGATTATTTGTGGCACAAAATTTTCCCCTCTTGCGTTGTTCCTTTGTACTATTTAAACTTGGATTAATTTTGATTTGGTTATTTATCCTATGAAGAAGTGGCTTACACTGAGTCGCAAAATGTCAGAAAAATTTTTTTCTAATCATTGGGATATTACAAGTACATTGCTTTATTTAAGTCACTCAGTCTAAAGTACCACAGAGGTGATTTAGAGTTTCTATCTGAATGTGACACAACTATTGTCATGTTATTTTACTTCCCTTGCTTTAGGTCGTGGTCCATTACAAAGCTACTATGCAAAATTAATAAAAGAACAAAAGTGGAAACATGTGGAAGTCATTATGTTGTGGCTTGAGTGGTCAGATTATCCCGTTTTTCTTGGATGTGCTGACTTAGGACTTAGCATACATCGAAGTTCCTCGGGACTGGATTTACCCATGAAAGTGAGTTTGAAGTATTTTCAGATATTACAAAGAAGTAGTATGTGTAATCTTAAAATGTCACCTTACGTAATATGTAACCACGAAGTGGGGTTATTGCCAAAATAATTTTTAAACGGAGAAACAGATAAGTAAACCTATTTCTGTATTTACAGACGAAGCTCTGTATGGTTGCATTTCGGGACAATACCGTCATTTTGTTATTTTGAAGTCGAAAAGGCTCTTAGTTTCCTAAAGAATGCTTACCAGATAGCTATACCATAAACTAGTCCAATCGTGTGTTCACACAAGTTTTTACGTGAGTATAAAGAACAGAAGTACACTCTAGAGGTATAGTCATTTTATCTTAACTCTAGTTCCAAAAACCTAGAATGACCAAATATAGAATCCAAAAGCTTTATTATTAAGATTCAACTTTTCAATATATATACCCATGTAGATTTCCACTTATTACTAACCACCAATTATTTTAACCTAACATCCTTGAACACATTTCGTATGGGTATTTTTTTATTGTATATGTTTAGGTAGTTGACTTACTTGGTGTGAACGTCCCTGTCCTGGCGCTAGGTTATACAACACTCAGTGAATTGATGGAGGATAATAAATATGGCTTATTTTTCGAAACTGGCGAACAATTAGCTGATCAAATGTGCGACTTGTTGAAACCACCCCGTAATTCTACAGTCCAATATACTTATGAAGCTAGCCGTTTTTTATCTGTTGGGTCAGAAAAATTAATTCATTTTCGCGAATGTTTAGCTGAAAGAAACAAACACCTGATTAGAGGATTTACCTACTGGAAAAATACTGCATTACCAGTGTACGAAAAAGCAGTTCATACTAATCCCTATAAAAACAAAGATAATTAGATGGTAATACATAATACGAATCTTTTGTGTCACTTGTTTACTTGATTTCGACAACCCTAGTTTCTATTTATTTATTTATTTGAACACATGAATATTGGTACAAGAGAGCGCCAATATATATGCGCCACACAAAACAATGAGAATTCGAAGAGAAATAGAAAAAAAAGCCAAGGAGCGCAAAAAAAGAGAACAATAACGAAGAGATTGGTGTAAGGTAGTGTGGTAGTAATGAAGGAACGGAAAGGTACAATCAGAAGAATTCTTTCAGCTAAGGAAGATACAACCGCTTTTTATGAAGAAAGTAAAAGAAGGTTACAGCAGGATTGCCACTGGCTTTTATTCTGAGCCATATCTGATAACGTCCTAGCCACTGTGTAGCACCATCTCTCAGACCCCAACCAGGGAGTCGTGAAGGACCAACACAAGCCAGTCCTTTGCAGCTTCCTTTCATGCCACGACACCATGTCATGCACTGACCACCTCTCTGCTTTTTCCAACCAGTCCCAGAGTCGCCAAATAATGTACGACGTGGAATTCTCTGGGGCGACATTCGTAGAACATGTCCAAGCCACCGAAGTCGGTGTTTCAAGATGGTGACACCAATTGAATTATCATCTCTGTGCCCGAACACACGATGCCGAACCTCTGCATTACTAACATAGTGTCGCTATCGGTTGTCAGCAGTCCTTCGGAGACAGCGATGATCGAACACATAGGGTCGTTTAACATCCTCAAATCAGAGGCCAGGTTTCACAAGCATAGAGCAGAATTGCTCTCACTGTTGCGTTGTAGATCCGACGTTTTACAGCCGCTCTGGCTTTCACTATACGTGCATTGATCTCATCACTCACTCCACCATCGGCACTTATGCAGCTACCTAGATACACGAACATCTCGACTACTTCTATCTGCTCACCATCCAGGGTGAGTACAGGATTGGAATCCTGCCAGTCTTGTAGAAGTACTTTGCACTTCGAAGGTGCAAAGCACATACCATACCTACGGACACTGATTGCCAACTGATTAAGTGCGGATTGCATGCCTTGGGCATTATCGCACAGTAAGACAATATCGTCCGCATACTCAAGGTCGAGAAGTCTTTCTCCAGGCAACAGATCCACACCACCATTACTTACATCCATCAGAGCTGTTTCCAGAATGTCATCGATGGCAAAGTTGAAGAGGAATGGTGAGATTGGGCAACCCTGCCTAACCCCACTGCTCGAATGGAACAATGGAGAGAGGTGGTTGTATGCCCTCACTCTGCCTGAGGTGTTTTTATATAGGGCTTTTAGGATGTTAATAAACTTCTCAGGCACACCCTTCTTCAATAGACAATCCCAGAGAACAGTTCTGTCCAACGAATCGAAGGCAGCCCTGATGTCAAGAAACACTACGATTGTTGGCCTTTGATAAGTATGGCGGTGTTCTAACATTTGGCGGAGGGTGAAGATATGATCAATACATCCTCGACCAGAACGAAACCCATCCTGCTCCTCGCGAGTCAATCTCTCTCGGGTTTTGAACAACCTACGAAGTATGACGGAAGCCAATAGCTTGGACGCAATCGGAAGTAGACTTATCCCCCGATAGTTGTTACAGGAACGACGTGAACCCTTTTTAAAGATAGGGACAACTATCGACTCATTCCATGACGTTGGTACACTCTCTAGTTCCCAGACCTTTGTAAACAACGTCGTCAGTTCCTTAGTCAGAAATTCACCACCATCTTTAAAAAGAGCCGGAGGTGTCATCTGGGCCAGGTGATTTGTAACGCTTCAAGAGTTGGAGTTCCTTGCGGACTTCCTTCTCGTTTGGTGGATCAGTCGTCACCGGCCATGGAGGGCAGGACAGTCTGACCGATGTTGCCGGAGCAGCAGGCCAGTTGAACTGCCCTTCGTCCAAGACGTCGATGGATGTTAGTGATTGGCATCCCATCATCCTCGCAGATTGTTTCATTCACACCAGACTTCTTGCTGCCAGTGGCTCGGACGAGCTGGAAGAGCTTCCGGTAATTACCAGATGCAGCTGCTGCTTCCAGCTCATTAGCACGCATCGACCACCAGGCTTCTCGGTCCTTACGCAAGCTTTGCCCAATTTCCTTACGTAACATCCTTCGTTTATGGTCAAACTCACGGTCACCCGGAGTAGACCGACGGGCTTCAATGAGTTGTAAGGAACCTGAAGAAACCCAGTGCTTATAAGCGGGACGTTTCGCGAACCCACAAGTGACTTTACTCGCCATTTTCATGGCGTCATGCAATTGCAACCAATGCTCATCTATACTTTTCGGTGGAACGGTAGCTAGCCTAGAGGCTAGCTCGGTTCGATACTTACTTGCAACAGAAGTTGCAACCAGCTTGCTAATATCAATCCGTTGGTGGTGGTCACTTCGTTGTCCACTGAAAAGTAAGGCAAGATTGGCGCAGACCAAGGCATGGTCAGAGTCCAGATAGGTACTCCAAAAGGAGCGGCAGTCTTGTACACAACCACGCCAGCGGTAACTGATCGCGATGTGATCAATCTGAGTCCAGGCTTGAGATGCAGAGGGAGGACGCCAGGTGGCACATCGGCGATGACTGTGCCGAAAGTTAGTGCTAGCCAGAAACAGGTTGTGGTCTGTGCACAGTTGCAGTAGACGGTCCCCGTTATCTGACCTGCGACCAACATGTCCCCATCGGCCACCTAAACGACTCTCTTCTGTGCCTAGACGCCCGACCTGAGCATTCAAGTCTCCGGCTAGTACTACAATATCTGTCGAACGCACTTTCTGGAGAAGAACAGATAACTGGTGGTAAAACTCATCCTTGACTGCATCCGGGCTGCAATCTGTCGGGGCATAGGCGATGACGAAAAGACATCGTTTCTCACGCCGATTTCTTCTCACTTTGATGGAACTTTCTAATCTAACAGCACATAACCGACTGTTAATGTGGATCTAATCGACTAGTGCTGCCTCAGCTCTAGCGCTTAGTGCGACACCAACCCCAGCAAGACCAGACGAAGATGCCACAGGGTCCCCGGATAAGCGCACGTAAAACAAGCTTTTCGAAGCGGCAGATGGAGGTCGAATTTGTAGTACTTCGCCAGAGTCTTGAATATGGGTCTCGGATAGACAGCAGACATCGATAATGAAGACTTTCCAAAGACTTAGCCAGCCCTATCTGTTGTCCAACCTGCATAAGTGTGCGAACGTTGAAGGCAGCCAGTTTGAATGGCGCACGTGGTTTCAGAAAAACTGCTTCAGTACTCATATTCGGTGGTAACATACAATTTTCAACCGGACAGTGACTCGAGAACGTTTAGATACAGTCGAATTTCCACCAAAGACGAGCCGCTGTATAAGTATAAAAGAGGGTGAATAATGTGGAAAATAATAATGACAATAATAGTATTAATAATGACGATAATTGTAATGATAATAATTTGAATCAATTGATTGTTTTTCGAAGCGAGAAAAGTAATTCCCATAGACATAGTTCATCATTTGTGTGTGGGCTGTGATACTGCCCGGGTGCCCAAACCGAAGCAGGTGGTTATCTTAGGGGGCCACTCCCCGAGCCTTTGACCTAAAGGTCTAACCCACAAGGCAGTGGAGCATCGTAAGGAGATGTAATCCCATGGCAGCCGGTGACCAACGATTGGTTCATACGCCATTTGTTCCCGCAGGATACTGGGGACCATGTGCACCATTGGTTTGGGATCCGGTTAAAGCGCCAGACATTCGATTTTCGTCCTCTCATTTTCGTAAACAACACCCCCGCCACGAGAAGGCAATGAGTAGGACTTCCCTGGCAGAGGCTGTATACGCGCGGCCGTGTGAGAGTATTTCGAGAGGGAGAGCGGACTATCCCCACTCTCGGCCGTACCAGGGCATTCGGGATTAGCAATTACGTTAGATTTTCAAACATACAATCGATTGGTCACTGAATAGTGGTCATCGTCACATGTGTTCAGTCCTATCGTGTTGATCGAATTCTACGGATCAAGTCGCAGTATGGCCACTAGTGTAAATGATTCGATATCACGTGCGTTATGTTGATGTGTTAGGTGTTTGGAAGCAGTTGACAGGAAATACTATTGGACGTACGTCTACAGCTAGTTGTCAGTACTTATTTACTTTTCTAATCAGTGTAGACCCTTAAAATAATTGGAAAATCTGGATAATTTTCGATGACGCCCTTATATCTAATCAGATTTAATCACATGGAAGGATTTTATTTGCACTATGTTCTTTGGGATAAAAAGACAAATTTGAAAGTCAAGCCGAGTATATTTTACACTATCAGTAGAATACCATACATTCATTCGTTGTTAAAATGAGATTTTAGGAAAAATTATACGATATAGAAAAAGTTTAGGTAGTCATTGTTATCAGTACTAACTTGAAAGCACAAAAATTTGGTGACCCTACCTAGAATCTAGTCGAACTCTGCAGGACAATAATTATTACCAACATAAGTAAAATCAAAAATAAGAAAGTATAAAATAATTGTAACATTAAGCCTAATAAATTATCTCTGAGCAAAATAGCATTATTTATATTACTGAAAATAAGTGCTTACACGTCTCTCTAAACACGAGGCATAAAGTGCTTCCATATTTCATATGAAATATGTAGACGGTTTTCCGTTAAAGTGAGTAATAGCGTGGCTGTTGCTTCAGTCATTTCAGGGTGCAAACTAATTAATTCCCTCACATTTTCATCCACAGATCTTGTTTGGCATTTGATGAGATCACAATGTGACATACCGGAGGGGATCGTATTCTTGTTAGACAAATTGTCTGAAGAGCAGTCCGTGTGGTTCTTATCATTCGATAACGATTCACAAATGAGATCTGGGTTTGCACTTATGTTCTGTTGCGCAGATGGCTTGATATCATCTTGCTGGTCTCGTATGTCGTCTTTTTCATCAAAGGCTAAACCAACCTCCAATTCATCATCAGAATCTGACTTGTTTAAATCTAACTGAGCGTAATTTAAATCCATTGTATGATCG